AAAGCCACAGGTCGCAACCGAAGTGATGTGAAGTGTTTCTGCTGGAAACGGTGAAACCAAAAAACCCGTCGAGAACCGCCAGCGAAAAAATGCGAAGAAAAACTGCAGGAAATCCTGGAATTAAGCTCATTTTCTTGGAGGTTCACCGTGGAACGACCGAGAGTCACAGCGCGGTGATGAGAGGGAATATGCGAGGCAGTACGTAGTACCAGAAGGTACAGACACCGAGTTTGTAGCGAACAAACAAAAATAGCAGCAGTCAAGACAGAGCTTCAGAACTCTTGTAGTGCACATTAGCATTTTCATGTTTTCTGAGCGTAGAGAACTTGCTGCCCATACGCAGAGAATCGTTCCAAGAATCTGACCGTACTTAACAGTTTAGGGCACTTAGCAAGATAGTTACGTCGGATCTAACCTCTAGGAAATTTCACAGTTTGATGTTTGGAACTGAGTATGGTCCTATTGTTTCTATAAGCAGACTGCCAATTTGACCGTAGCTTCCAGTAATGGTTTTGCCCCCCCCCCCCCCACCCACCCCCGTATGCTACAATAGGTTATGAGCTTATTTAATAAGCTCATAGTCAATAGTCCGCCCCTATTGACGAGACTTAAATTCCATCCACGCTTGTTTTGCACTGTCTTCATAATTTCCGGTGCTTTACTTTTATTAGGTGATTATAGTAGGACAGCTTAGACTTCCTAGTACAATTGCATCGATTAACGGTGATAACGTTTATGGCCGTATATGACCTGCAACGTTGAGTAATGAGCGATAAGAAGTCGTTTGACGCAGAACGGAGAGCAGTCGAGGCAAAAAGAAAAGCCGTAAAGTGCAAATAAAGGAGATTTTTTGAATAGACGGTACTGTTCAAAAAATGCCGCGATATTCCTGAGTGCATACTTGGGCTGAAAAACAAGCACAGTCTTAAGAAGATATAATAGTTTTTGGATATCTCATCGTGATGCTGAACTAACATCCTCGGAGGAATCGAGGAAATTTTGTTGGGGTTTAGTAAAAGAGATCGCATCATTCTGGTATAGTGTTTCATCTCGAAAGCACTCGTGGTGATTGAATCTTTGGAGCAATTCTCTCCGTGAGCTTGGTAGGTAGAGGTTTTCCAAGCAACTGAGCCACGACAATGTCTCCACTCGAAAGTGACCTTGGTTTGACCGCTGCGATCGCTGCCATTTTAACTTGTTCGTAGGAGATTCGGCGTCTGCGCCCTCTCCTACCACGTGCTCCCTCGCATATTCCTTAGGTGGCTTCGTCGTTCCATCGAATTCACACCACCCCGCACAACGGAGATGGGTGTGCCGACGGTTTTAGAATTAAATACCATAAAAACAGCCATAATGGGTGGTGATCGGCGGTAGGGCGGAGGTGCCGTGTTAGCAGGGTCAACCGTCACGTTCGAACATTTTCGGGATTTTTGCGACCCCCCCCTCTCGAGAGGGTCCAGTTGCGACCCCTCCCAACACACAGTTGCGACCCCCCAATACAACCAGCCTTCCTCCACCGCGACCTCTCCCTCTTCTATAGTATTTGATTCTGAGACCAGTTGACACAGCCCAAAACCTACCTAAAACTCCGAAACTCCACCCACTTTTCCCCCAAAAACAGCCGTCGAGGGGGGGGGGGATACAACTCGAGTGAAATTTTCGCACAACGACCTATGACCTAATCCGTGCGCCCATTAATCAACTCAAGGCGCGCCACACTAGCGACCAATGCAGCCCCCTCCTTCCCAGACACACAAATGCGACCACCCGTTCGAACTGTTCGAACGGACGGTTGACCCTGGTTGGGAGAGCCTCCTAAAGACTGATGGTGGTGTGGAGTCGTCGAGGGGGAGTGGGCAAAATTTTCGTAAAAGTGCAACGAAACGATTGACCCTGCCCCTTGATGAATGAGGTTTTCAGTTCAGCGTTTATTACGGTCCCTTTTGCGGTTTTTCCGTCCCTGTAGTTCCTCGCTAGCAAACTAATTCCGCCCACCATCCGTGACTTTGAGATACACTTGCGGCCCAGATAACTGTGGGACTCTACTGTTTTTTTCAAATAACACCACGGGAATTAGGATCTTCACCTACCCTTCTAAGCCGGCTGGAGCGTGGCATCGGTGTAGGGCAACAATTGTAATATTCAGGAAACAGCACTTTTATGGATGTACTCGGATCACTTGAACCGAACTGGAACTGTACGATGAGAAATGGAAGTTTTTATACAGGTAAACGAATGAATGGTGGTGTCGTTTCTAAATAGATCATCCAATATAAGAAAAACCATTTCAGTCAACGCACCGACGGACGATACGAGTTGTGCTTTCCTGAAAAACAATTGCTCATCTTACACTGCTGATGTTCGTTGTATTCTTCACAGATCCCGCGAAAAGATGAACGGTTCTCATTGTTGAGCAATCCCCTTAAGATGCGCCACACCGTCAACTTGGGCTCAGAATTGTAGAAACATGTGTGAACCACATACACATGAATATACCACGAGCCGAGGGCGCTAGCCAATATTCAGTACAGTGTTTTCATAACTCCAAGGAGTGCCGTAGTGCTGTTAACAGAAGACACCGAAAAGTTGGATATCATGAACGCGAAAAGTGGGATTCCAAGATAGGCAGTGGTATGGATTTATACCGCTAACCACCATGCTAGTTTTACCCTAAGCTGAAGATGCTTTGAACAACAAAAACCTAGTGCTTGCGGCGTAGGAATGCTATACCAAAGTTCACCTAATCAGTGCAAAGTTCAAGAAGGAACTGAAGTGGAATCGAAGTGAAAGCAGCCCTTTTCTGGGCCACAGCAGCCAACAAGGAGGAGGTGAAGGCACATTCCTCGACAGCTGTTTAGAGGACTCTTTTCTCCAGTGTGGCAGTCTGGCCCACAGGCGTCACGGTTGGGCACATTTCAAAGTCCGGATGATTAGTTAGATTCGATTTTGATTAGTTAGATGATTAGGTTGATCATGATGGCATGATTAGTTCATTGGAATAATTCTTTCTGTGAATACAGGGGGGGCCAAAAAAAAGAGTCACTTCTCTCCACATTCAAAACGCAATTAATCTCGAACTGCGAAACCAAATCAAATGAGCCCAATTGCATATTAAAGAGCACATTCAAGTCTATCAAAAGGCTACATGACAGCCTTCTACACTGACGACATCAGAAGATTTTCCCACGGAAACATGGTTCACGGTACGAGCTCAACGACGTCGTCGAGGTACCATAGACCATTACGACGTCCCTGAAACGCCGGTCAAAAGCGGTCTTGCACGGTCACAGCTAGTGTCTCTGGGAAGCTATTCACCGCTTAACCGATTGAAGGAATTCGGGTTGCAGCTTCAGGCCGGAGCGATTACGGTAAGCCCCGTTGAGCTTGACGGCGACGGCAGATGACGTCATATTCTGAAGACCGTGAGGGCATTGAAGTAGGGGCTGCTTCTGCTTATGGGGGGACACCTAAGGAATATTCTGCCGTAAAACATTCATTAGCTGCGGCATTCTGTGCGAAGAAAAATTTGATGATGTGCGCCATAGGCAAAGTGACTCTTTTTTTTGGCCCCCCCCCCCTGTATAAGCAATGAATGTGTTCAACAAGTCGTGCAATTCTGGCGAAGTTCAAAACGCTGGACAATGTCGCTAAGGTGTCTCCATGACCGCCACTGATCGCCGCTACTGTTTCCCACAACAACTGTTTATGCATCGAGGTGGCTGCGCTGTCTCGTATGGCGGGCTCCCGTCGACGCTCTGCATCTCTTCGTCGTACCACGTCCAACTTATTAAAAAAGGACCCTTGAATTTAGAAGAATATCAGATAGTGACATTGCTTTTGCTTTTTTACAGTAGGAACTTCTTCTTAGCTCTACTCTCAATTCCGAGCAAAACGAACACAATTTATGATTGTGGGATTTATTTCTAAAGTGCGTAAAGGGTGCTACGGATTCCTGCGGTTTCTTTAATTCCACCTCTTTCACGTGACTTTGTCTTCAAATTGACGTCACAGGCGGTATCTGCGTCTCGCTAGTCCATGCACGTTCCTGTTCCCTCGTCGTCTGGCACCTCAAACTGGCGCCTGGTGTCTTCGCACTCGCGTAAAGAATGGACTTATTTAAGGCTTTTCCAACAGTTGCTTCCGCTCCCTCTAAAGCTACCAGATCAAACTTCCTGGCTAACAGCCAGCTGCATGATTTCAGACAAACTCCTTGGAATTCTTTTCATTGGTAGCCGATTTCAAAATGATTTGCGACGATGCAAATAAAGTGAAATGGATTCAAGTGATTCAAGCCGGCGGATCGGTGAGTACTACTTTTTATAGTTGTGTATAAGAATTCGAAAGTTTATTGGATACTTACCATTCAGCCTCTTATTTCCCTTTACGTCTTCTTTAGCCTATTCTCAGAGCTGACAATATATCCCATATTTACAGCTACTAGGCTCAATCATCGGAGGTCACATGGGGGATCATTTGGGTCGAAAGACCATCTTCTTCACAGGACAACTGTTAATTATTATCACATCGATGATGTCCACTGCATCACAGAACTGGGTCGCATACGCAAGCATTCAAGGAGTGAATTGCTTCCTTTATGGAGTTATTGAGGTATCAAATACTTGTTGACTTTCAAAACAATGAGAAACGTTTTCAAAAACTGGTTGTAATGTGGAGCTTGAGCACCAGCTATGGAAGGGTAGGCAATAGAGCGGGGCGAAAAATGTCTACGGAAAGAGATAGAGGTCGATTTCCGACATAGCTAAAGAGCAAGTTCCCCAGCTGCTTAATCAACAATAAGTATCGATTTGACAAACGTGACCCGCCCTGAAAGTATAGCCGGCGTTCCAGCTTGCCATACTTGCAAACAGGAGTCGTGCTTCATGAAGGTGACAGTGCATCCTAAGTGTGATCACCTTTTTCGAACCTGCTACGCCATAGCCTTCATATCACTGAACACCGCCAGCTTTGATGCATGATAGGTCGCCGAGGTCAAATTTTTCCATGCGAATTGCCGTCCAGTTCGCACCCTCAGAAGGTCCCGTGGGTCCCTCAACTAGGTCAGTTTCCCTTTCTTCGACCTTCATTCTAATCGTGAAGTCCTCTCTTTATGTGAGAGTGTGGTCCTGATAGTGCAACGGGCTTCAACTGCTTAAGAGAGATGTCAAGCGTCTAATGCCAGCATCCACTTGTTGGGATAGACTGTTTTGCTTACAAAATCAGAATCCAGTTGAAAAATGAAAAAATGTGATAACGTCATTGGTCATTCAAAACTCACGGATAAACTTATGAAATACAAGGAAATCGACTTTGGAAAGCCCATTCTTGGATGCGCCGCGCGTTTTACTTCCATTCAGACTCGTAGTGGCATATTGTATGCACTTAGGCTAATTCAGATGGCTAGCCATCACGATTCATGCATTTTTGGTTAAAACTGTCTGTGCTAGTAAATGAAATATGGTGAGCATTACACCTCCCAACAATGAGTGAAAATCTATTGCGTCGCAACTGCTCACGCCGTGCTCAATAAATAATGTCATCACATTGAAAGAACCATTCCTACTTATAATCCCAATCTTCCAGGTGACGTCTCTGACAATGATGATGGAGTACACAAACAACAAGTAAGTGCCTTGAACCTGCAATATTCGAAGCTGTTTATCATCTAAATGAGCTAAACATTGTTTAACACCTCATTTCTAACTTATAAGCTAAAGTTGTGAGTTAATTGCTATGCGATAATGGATCCCGAGTTCATATAGTGAAAGGGGTTCTTAATACACCATCAAGCTTTGGTGGGAGGGGTGTTAGTTGGTGTAGAAAGCCCAGTATGATCCCCGTTCCCAACTCGACCATCATTTTCACCATCACGGCCGTCTCTACAGTATTTGACTCCCACCACCCTTCAACCAAAATAATCCCTGGGGGTGAAGAGGAGGAGGAGCATTAATTATGCCCCATCGATAAATGATAAGGATAAAGCATTTGCCTCAGCTTTTCGTGGTACGCTACCACGTACCATAGCTTGTACCATGAGTGGTGCCATGAGAAGCTGAGTTGGGATGAAATGGTGCCCCGGTAGCGTAACTGGTAGCGCACTTGCCCGGAAAGCGAGAGGTGCGGGTTCTAGTCCCGCCTGGGGCGAAAGTTTTGTTCACAACCCAGCATTCTTGTGAAAAATAAAATTACTTATCGTTCTAGGTATCGCGTAGTGATGGCGTCCGCATTTTCAGTGGCCATTTTGCTTATATGACAATAGCGCTGATCGCTTTTCTCACGAAGGTTAGTTTCCATTCATAAAGCATGCGACGTTTATGAGTCCCTTTCCGGGATGTGCCAGGCCTTTTACTTCCATGCATCTAGAAATTCGTAGGGGTTATAGGGGTATTTTGAATGCGCATCGCCCCTTAAATGAGTTGCTAGGGTAAATCTGCACAAGTCGGTATTTTTGTCCTCCTAGACAAGGCTGTCATCAATTACCTGACCTTGCCGGATAAAAGATTTGTTTAGTCTGAACGGCGTGCAATCGAGAGTTTGCCTCTTCATCGTGCGCGTGGTGCGCAGCGACACTTTCCAGGACCAGAGTCAACCCTGCGTTGCGCAGTTCGCAACGGCACGTTGAGAGATCCTCAACGCACGCTGTATGGGCGGAGACGCAGACGGCTCGAGCATGCGAGTGTGAATGTTCGCGCGAGAGAACGTGTCTAATCGGGCGAAACTGCGCAACGTGGCCGTTGAGAACTGATCGAGAGTTTGCCTCTTCATCGTGCGCGTGGTGCGCAGCGCCACTTGCCACGACGCCTTTTCCGCCCTTTATTTTACTGCTGGCCTCAACTCGTTATGCTCACATAGGACTGAGGGTGAATGTCGCGACAGTGTAGTTCTAGCACGATCGAGTAGAGCTGATGCGTCACATAGAAATAAGACTGCCGTCGACTGCTTGGCTACACGTGAATGATTTTTACAGCACGGATGTAACTGCACATTAAGTAGAGAAGCATCACAAACTGATGGGAAACTCCAGTAACTGAGAGAAGGAGCTTCTTGAAGCGACAGAAGACCTACTTCAAAACACTGTGCAGCTCGGCAGTGAATGAACGGATGCGAATTCAATTGAAAATGGTACCTTGATACCAATTTTAGCAAACCTGTGTAAATCCTAGTGCTGGCCAAATACGTCGTCAAATGCCGTATGAAGGACGGATGCAGAGCGTATTCCAAGTTATCATTCATCCAGTCACACTACCCTTGTTTCTTGTCTATCTGAATCCACTGAGTCCCTTTTAAATACATAGCTTAGAGTGCGCCTAATCACTACCAAAATAACCTTCATAAAAACCCCCAGATAATAAGCCGAATGAATAATTTCAGGGATGGCAGAATTTCTTCGTATTTCTCAATCTGGTCTCATCACCACTTGCGATAGGTTTCATGTTGTTTTTGGAGTCACCACGATGGTTGATCGCTACCAACAAGTTGGACAAGGCGTGCGAAGTAGGTTCTGCCTCGGCAAGTCGAGCCTAGAGACCGTAATCTTGGAAGATGGCCTTGTTTCAGGTTTTGAATGACATTGCACATCAGCGTTGGAATAACACCAAGGCGCATTTCAACACTTCAGACATCTCATCGATTCACAAAAACGAGAAGAAACGCTTCTATACATTTTACCATCTTTTCAGGTAACACCACAGCAATTTAGAGGCAGTGTGATTGAAAAGCGGCGCTAGCTCAGAGGCAGTCTGAACACGCTCTGCGCGCGCGCCTACCAAGGCTATCTAACCATTGCTCACCCGTTCAATCATCGCCACAACCTGCCTACAGAATCCTGTTTCAAGAGTAAAAGCAATCTCTCAAAGACATTCCCAAAAAACATAACTGAGGCAGAAATACAACGCTTCCGACCACCGCTCTTGCCTTCTTCAATCGGTAGGGTAGCGTCATCTACACACATCCTGCTGAGCGCCTAAGTTACGTGGACTTCTCTCTTCACGATTGATGTGAGCTGGACTACCTATGAACGATGAAAATCAGAAACTTTCCATACCCGGCACTGCTTCCTGATTAGCCTGGATGTAGGGTTCCCCCAAATGGTTGTGTTACCTCGGTTATTCCTCATACATAACTGGCTTGTCCTCCTTTCCTCTCTTAGACCACAACAGTTGTACTCGCAAAGTGATCTGCCCGTCCATCCCCCTTTTCTCCCACCCCTAATATGAAAGTGAGCAAACTCGTACCATTGAGTGACCTGTATGGTGACGACGTCCACGAAACATTGTAGCGAAACCTCAACCTCACGGAACTCCGCTTTCACAGGTCCTCGCCCTACCTCGCACCTCGGTAGTCTCGAGAATACCGAAGCTTCCCCTGCTTGTTGTGAACATTTGCTATACAATCATAGAATATACGAAGGAGCTGTACAATTTTTATTACTGTACTTTACACTTACCTCAAACAAACCCCGTGATAACGTAGACCAAACAATGTGAGCCGAATTGAGTTGGGAGATCCACAGGCGACGCTGGAACTTCTTACACATACAACCCGCTGCCAGACTTTCCTTTTAGGCTTTGTTCCCAGCGGTTGAACATGTCGTGATTGCAGACCTGGTAGCACATCTGGCATGAAATACCATCGAACACACATGTTATAATGTGGCATCGATTTTTTCCTGAACCCATTGCCATCAATTATATTGAGCCTGCAACTATGAAGTGGCTCCGCTCCGGAGTACAGACCATACTGGATTTGCGCCAAAAGTAATAAAAAGCTGGGTGTATGCCAATGCGCAGTAAAGTCCTTGAAGTTCAAACGCCGTCAATTTTCTGCTTTCGTCTGCGCTCTCTTACCTGGATGTTGTCTGTTACACATTCTGTCGCGTACTCTTTCGCGCGCGGAAGCTCGGCGTATACTTTTGGCATATACGTGACTGCATCTACTTTTGGCTTGTGCAGTACTTGGTCGCTGAGGGACGGGTTTCAATGAAAATTACAAAATCAGATAAAGATGAGAATATTTCAGCACACCTCGCCTTGCAAAGCAATCTCTGATCCAAATATTGTCGATGTTCACCTATGCGATGGTTTCGAATACATACCTGTACACTGTCGATGGAGTGCATAGTGAGGACGCTTTTTTCTCCCATATCACCTCGTAGATAACAAACAACGGAGAAATTTCACGCCGTTAGGTCGCGGTAGTCAAACGAATGGACAGAATTTATATGATCAAGCGAAGAGGACTGCTAGAGATGAAAAAGGGAAAAAACCAAAAAAAAACTAAAAGTGCTCGTTTTTGCGAGATCACTCTGCTACGACGAGCAGGCACTGTGCACCAAGGAGAGGAGCAGACATGAGAGCACTACGGCGCAAACACCTCTCTACAGAAAGCGTTGCGATGCGAATTACAGCTATAGCCGATCTTAGCACGAGAAAAAGGATCTGGATCCCTTCAGATGCACGGGAATGGCATAATTTCTACTTGTGAACAGATCTGTCTCTGTCCTGCTCACTTGTAGGGTTGATCCTCCTAAATCATTGTCGAATGTTCTTTTGGGAAGCAGCGATGAATTTACACTTTTCTCGGTCAGATGGGACCAGTGCGGCTCAAGTGTGGTCACGGGGGACAATGTGGCGCAAAAGAAAACATCTGGAACAATTATAAATATTTTTTCATTACTTACTTCCGTTCGTGCACAAGTGAAGTTATTCACTCACTCCGATGTTACCCTCACAAATTGGACTACCATTCCTGGGATTAACTACTGCGCCACGCTACTCATCCAACTACACTTGCGCATTCCACATGTGTGCGTGATTCTTCTATGAGTCACAATGAGTCCCGTAGTGGGTTAATGTAAATATGACGCTCATTTGAACCTCGCAGTTGTCAAAACGTTCAAAAGATGGGAGCATCGTGGCGTTTTGGTCGTTTCGTCGAAGAGGCGGAGTTGCTGAAAAGGGGTGTTCTTCTTGAAAATACCTACCGTGCTTTGACTACACAAATCTTGTACCGTAATACGACAATTTGCAGGGTAACCACGCGTGAATTATGAAGGCCTAGTGAGCAAAAACTTTTTGTCAAAATTTTCCAAAAGTGGAAAATTTGTTTAGGGCAATGTTGAAAACTTGATCAGAATATGTTTGGCCAGCTCAGCTATTATTTCTATTTAAAAATTGATTCTTCAGATTCTGTGATCATGTTCACGTTCTTGGATGGATTATTCCGCCTTTTTACACCATTCATTATTATCTTCCTGGATTTGCAACTGCCCGGTTTCGGACGGAAAATTCAATTCGTTGGAGCTTTGGGTGAGAAAAACTTTTACACTTTTCATTACTGACTCTCTTTTCATCATATTTTATTTATCATTTGTATCCAACAAGCTGTCAACATATCGCACCTTCTCAATTTCCATTTCAGTGATCGAAGCACTTCTTTTTGGAATCATTATACTGTTGATATCACTTGGATACGATTACAATCACACTGGTACTTATTTAAAATTTTTATTGTATATTTACGATCGATTTCACATGGGTTGCATAGGGGTGAATTCCTAGCAGTTTCGAAGAAATCACCCACGGGAAAATCGTCCATCAATTCGATCCCAGCCTGTGCCTTTAAGTTTTGCTGAAGACTTCTGTTACTGCTCCCCTGGCCCAGAAAGTGTCCTGGTTCAGGTTCTGGTGCTTTACCCCAGCACTTGAAGAAGGCCAATACTTAGCAACTAAAGCAAAACAACTCAGTGGGGGACCAGACTC